AAGTTGCCAAGGTTGAAAACCCCTGACCTACACGAACATAGCAAAAAGTGTGCATGGAACTCAATCAACCAGATGAGAGAAGCAATTTTCCCGGGCAACCAGTGATGGGGAAAATGGCGCTCCATGCTCTAGAACCATTTCTAATTGTCCATGTCACTGTTTAATTAAAATTTAAGGTGTGCTTAAATATAAGGTGATGCTCATTAAGCAGACCAATTAATCGACTGAAACTTTAATCTCTACATTTTACAGATAAGGAAAAGTTGAATGGAAAATTCTAAATCCAAAGAATTCCAACCTGAGAAAAGATTAAATGCAAGGAATGAGTTCCAGGTTGGAAGAAGCAGGCTGAAGTTTTGGGGTTGTTGTTGTTTTTTTTTTCTCCTGGGCTTCAAGTCTAGAAAGCAGCAAGGACTGAAAGAGTTGGCTTCTTAAGCTGGAACACAGGCCCTCTGCTCCTGAACCCTTAAAGAACTGGAATTTCTATGGTAAAATAGACAAAGAAAGAAACTTGGCAGCTTGAAGAAATGTGGAATTCAACTCCCAGAATTCCCTAGCCAGCCACGCTGGTTGAGGAATTCTGGGAGTTGAAGTCCACACATCTTCTAGCTGCCAAGGTAAAGAAACACTATTTTAGACAGAGGTTTCAGGGGTGTTTTTCTTCTCAGTGTTACTCTGCTGTATACCCTTTGTCTTGTCTTTTGTTTTTGTTTATGTGCAGATTTGACAAAGTAGACCACAACCTGCTGCTTAGTAAGCTAGAAAAAGGTGGGATAGGCAACAACAGCATCAGATGGATCTGTAGCTGGCTGCAAACTGTACTCAGTGAATAATCCTCAATAGCACTACATCCACATGGAGAGAAGTAAGCAGTGGCGTACCACAAGGCTCCATCTTAGGCGCAGTACTCTTCAATACCTTCATTAATGACTTAAATGAGGTAATAGAAGGAGAACTCATCAAATTTGCAGATGACACCAAAGTGGCAGGAATAGCCTTCACCCCAGAAGACAAGCTCAGGATCCAAAAAGATCTTGACAAACTTGAACAATGGGCCCTATCCAACAAAATGGGTTTTAATGTGAGAAAAACAAAGTTTTACACTTAGGCAGGAAAAATCAAATGTTTAAGTACAGATTAGCTGAGGCCTGGCTCAAGAACAGCAACTGTGAGAGGGACCTTGGAGTCCTAGTGGACAATCACTTGACTATGAGCCAGCAGTGTGCAGCAGCAGCCAAAAAAAGCTAATACAATCCTGGGTTGTATAAACAGAGGAATAGAATCAAGATCATGCAAAGTATACGTTTAAGCCATTGTAAATGACAGTTAAGGGTAAAGCAACTTAACAAAATGCAGTCTCCTGAATATTTGAAGTTGCTTGTTTAATGCTCAAGGATACCTGTGTTTGATGAAATCCAGACACAAACTGTCACTTAATAAAATGAGTTGCAGTGGGAATATTGTGAGAGAGTAGAAATGAAATTCTCCCCTAATTTGCACCAGGCTATAAAGCAGGACACTATGAGTTTGACTCCTGCCTTAGCCTTGGAAGCCAGCTGGGTGACCTTGGGCTAGTCGAGGGGTAGGCAACCTTGGCTCTTTTATGACTCATGGACTTCAACTCCCAGAATTCCTGAGTCAGCTATGCTATGCTGACTCAGGAATTCTGGGAGTTGAAGTCCAAGAGTCATAAAAGAGCCAAGGTTGCCTACCCCTGGGCTAGTCTCTCTCCTCAGCCCAACACACCTCACAGGGTTGCTGTTGCGGGGAAATATAAACAATAAAGGTTGGGATATAAACAAATGAATCAACAAACAAACAAACAAATAAATATTATTCTACATAGAAGCGAAGGGTTGCTGTCTTGTTGAACAGACATTACCAATGCTGTCTTGTTGAACAGACATTACCAATGCCAGGGAAGATCTTCTGGCCTAAAGCAAAGTTGCTTGAAGTTGGCCAGGAGAACTTTTACAATCGCAGCAAAAACCTAGAAGTCACTTTTTTTCAGCAATACTATATCAGAACCTGATGACAGAACGGAGACTGTAATTCCTTCCTTCATTCTACCTACACCAGGGGTTTTCAACCTTGGCAACCTTCATGAGTAATCTTCTGATAGAGGAAAAAAAAGCCAAAAGTCAGTTATTCTCGAGGGTTGTGGGGACTTGATTCCATGTGTTTTATTTGGGTTTTATCTATTTTAAGCTTTTTATACTTTATTGTGTCTTAAGCTAATAATAATACTTAACAATAATACTTTTATTGTATTTTGAGCCCCCAAGAGTCTTGTGATTGCAACATCAGACAAACTTGATTAAGTAAACCGACACAAAAATAAGCATGATGAAAAAAATGCTCCCGCTTTTTTGTCCCCAAGTATGTCATGAAGCTCTCTTTGCCCTTCTCCATGAATGCCAATGGCACATAATTGTGTTTAAAAGGGGGATAGGCCAATTTTTCTTAAGATATGAGCAGAAATCATGTTTCATTATTTTTTCTATGTTGAAATTCTTGTTGATTGCACAGTAGAGAAATTGTTTTTTTAAGGATGAAGCAATGATTAATGGCATACTTGGAGGAATACCTTGATCAGGAAACCCACGGATATTGGGTCAAACTGCTGTATGGTGTAGAGATTTCTGAATTCTCTTCTGAATATTACCCTTTGCAGCACTGAAGTGATGCAGAATTAATATAGTGAGGATGGAAACTGCAGTATGTGCATAATTAATTTTGGATACATTCATAAAGATTTTAGGAGTTGGAGAATGCCCCATTTCTTTTTCATTCCCATGCTCGTAGTGGTATACCAGAAAAAGAGGGAAATGAAGACATTCTGAAAAGTCCATACAATGTAATTTATCTATAAATTGTTGAGATTTTGGGTTGAAATCAATTCTTTTCTGGGTTGAAGAAAAGAGATTACTTTAAGTCTTAACATTCAGGTCTTTGGTCTTGAAGCAGGTATGAAATGTATTAGTATTCAATTAAATGTTGCTTCATACATAGAATAGCGCTTGAGGATATCTGGAGGGCAGAAGAACAAATGCAATAGAAAAGCAATATTTTATGTTCACTACAGCAGTATATACTTCATTCTGATTTTATACTGTTTCTTCTTCTTTTGTTTCTGCTTTTGTTTTAAATACATGCACAATTAAAGCAAGAAAGCCTATGCTATCTTTTACTGATAAGAGTTTAAGGAAGCATATCTAATTTATTTTCCATGCCATTAACATTTGGTTGCAGTTCCTCTATATTCCTTCTAAAGTTAAAAAAGGGCTTTTTTAAAAATCTGCATTAAAAGAAAGCCCTAACAGCTTATTTTCCAAAACATATGTAGAGAAAAGGAAAAACAGATGGGCTTTACCACTGTGAGAGATTTCTGGTAATAATTATTTTCAACTCACACACATTCAGCTGTCAACTCTGATTTATTCTTGAAACAAAGCTGGATTTTGTTGCCAGTAATGCGCTTCATTTCTATTTCCTACATTATGTATGACTGTGTGTGTTTGAAGTGCCATCATCCAATCACCATTCAGCCTATGTGCCACCTATAATAATGAAAAAGCCATATTTCTCTTTTATTCTTTTAGTTAAAGTGCTTGATTTTGTGATCTGAATTGGTGCTTCAGTGTAACAGGAGAGCTGAAAAACCAAAATAATTATTATGTTGGGGTCACATTCTAGCCTTTCCAGTTTATTTGTTTAGAGCAGGCTCTTTCCTCTGGGCATAATAAAACTAATACAAATAAAAAATTCCCCCTGCCCTTCCCATCGTCAATCTGGACAATAAATAATGGGTTTTTAAAGCCATAAACATAAGGTATAAAGACATCTCCCTTTAAATAAAACTTGCTCCCCCTTCACAGTCACACAGCAAGTGCTCATCTATTTGCTGAAAAAAAAACCCTACTCCCGCCCCCTTTACGATATTCTCCCCCCCCTCTTTTTTTTTTAACTCTATGCAATAAAAATTCAAGTAAGTGGATTATTGCACGAACGCTATCCACCAAGGGCAAAGAAATTCCTTTGCAATAAACAATAGCCGACTCGTCTTCCATGTCTTTGGCTGCCGCCATCAGGCAAGGTCAATCCCGCTGCGGCAGCAGCTGCGGAGACTAGAAAAAAAACCGTCCCTCCCGCCCTTCCTTCTTGCTTGGAGCGCGGCAGCTGCAACGCCAAGCAGGCAGATCCGGCCATTGGCGCTGTTGAACTCAATCTAAAGGAACTGTCCATCCGCTTCCTTCCTGCTCAACCGCTCGCCGAAAACGCTGTCCATACATGCCGCGGTGCTGAACTCGTCTCTCTCTCTCCCACGAGGACCTGTCCAACGCCTCCTGAGTGCTGAAATCGGATTCCTTTCCGACATCTTTGCGGGGAGAAGACAAGACAGGGGCGTAAGTAGAGCTCTCTGGGGCCCAAGGCAAACCTCTCAGATGGGCCCCACAAACAATGGGAAGCAAGCCTATTCGGGTGCCTAGGCCTTGCATCACATAAGACACCCTGGGGAGAAATAGCAGCAGTTGCAGCTATAGCTGGAAGCATTCTTGAGGAAAGGCGGAGGGGGTGGTGGTGGTGGCAATCGATGGCAACCAGATCGGGGCGGCAAAAATCTGGGCAACCGTTAGATGACAGCAAAGAAATGCAGCTTTCTACTTACTTTTTTGCTGCCATCTAATGGTCGCCCTAAACAGTAAGCGCTGAGGGGTTTTTTTTTTGCCACTCTCGCCTGCAACACGCTTTCACCTGCTGTGCCGCCCCCACCCATCGTGCCGCCCCAAGCAAATGCCTGAGCTCCTCTATGGGCACACGCTGGCCCTGCAGCGGACCACAGAAGTTCCCGGGCCCGCCACCCCTGCCTCAACGACATATGCGCCATTGAAAGCAGAGAAGGGCTGCGCGGTGGAATATGGGTGGAAAAGGTGGCGGGACGAGCAGCGAGAAGCCTGACCGTAGCTTGCCGCCTTCGTGTTGATCGCTTCCATCCGCCCTACTCCGCTGTCTGGACACAAAGCAGCCGCAGCTATGGAAGAAGAGCTGAAATGCCCCGTCTGCGGTTCGCTCTTCCGGGAGCCCATCATCTTGCCCTGTTCGCACAATGTCTGCCTGCCCTGCGCCCGCACCATCGCTGTACAAACGCCAGAGTCCGAGCAGCATCTGCCCGCCATGCTGCACCCTCGGGGCCCTGCGGCAACGGCAGTGCCAGGCGCTGGAGCTACAAGCGGGCCGGCCTCTCTGGACTACGAGTGTGGCGCCGGCGGAAGCAGTGGGACCGCTGGCGGCGGCGGCGGAGACCACGCCGACAAGGTGAGCTTGCACAGCGAGACGGACAGCGGCTACGGCTCCTACACCCCGAGCCTGAAATCTCCTAACGGCGTGCGAGTTTTGCCCTTGGTACCGCCGCCTCCGGGATTGTCGGCCGCGGCGGCTTTGGCGGGACCCCGCGGGAGCGGAACCAGCTCCTCGCTCACCTGCCCGCAATGCCATCGCAGCGCATCCCTGGATCCTCGCGGCCTGCGCGGCTTCCAGCGCAACCGCCTCCTGGAGGCCATCGTGCAGCGCTACCAGCAGAGCCGGGCCGCCGCCTCGGCTATGGCCAAGTGCCAACTGTGCGACCGCAGCCCTCCGGAGGCGGCCGCGGTGTTGTGCGAACAGTGCGAGGTGCTCTACTGCTCGGCTTGCCAGGTCAAATGTCACCCGTCCCGTGGGCCTTTCGCCAAGCACCGCTTGGTTCCTCCCCCCAGCCAGCAGCAGAGCGCCCCTAGCGGCGCGGGCGGGGCGTGCGGCGGAGGAAGCAAAGGCCCGGGCGCTGCCCGCAAGTCTCCAACGTGCGCGGATCATGAGCTGGAGAACTACAGCATGTACTGTGTGACCTGCCGGACCCCCGTCTGTTACCAATGTCTGGAAGAAGGAAAACACTCCAAGCATGACGTGAAGGCCCTGGGAGCCATGTGGAAACAACACAAGGTAAGCCATGCCCACCGGACGCCTGCCCTGCTCCGCAAACCAACGAAGGCTTCTGCGTGTTACCCCAGCACCTGCTAAAGGAGGACGGGGTGCCCCTTTTCTAATGGTAATTTATTAATTGTTTATTTATTAAATTCATATGCCATATATCTCACTGTCTAGAGCAGGGGTCTTCAAACTTGGCCCTTTTATGACTTGTGGACTTCAACTCCCAGAATTCCTCAGCCAGCATGCGTGGCTGAGGAATTCTGGGAATTGAAGTCCACAAGTCATAAAAGGGCCAAGTTTGAAGATCCCTGGTCTAGAGTGACTCTGGGCTACTTCCCAAGGGTGAATAGTTTCCCCCTAAAACTTTCCTGGGCATCTTTATTGCAGATAAGAGTCAGAATGCTGAGCAAAGGAAGAAAATATAAATGACATCAGTGCTGCAAAGAATTTCTCTGAGGAAGTGCAGCGTTTATATCCGATATCATTCATGGAAGATTGAAATCAAGGTCATTGTTGTATTATGTGCAGCTGCCAGGCTGAGTTTAGTACTGATACCTTTCATTTTAGAAAAATGCTGCTTTTTTTTTATTAAGACAAGAATGATTTACATGATCTGAAAAGAAAGCAGAGAATTTTAAACAACTCTCTTTGTCAAGGTATTCATACATGGGATAAATTGTCTGACTTTAAATGTGCATTTTTAAACATTCCTGTTTTTTTAATGATTAGATGTATACACAGTTCTTTACATTCTGTATTGTGCTTCTCTTAGCAACAGATCTTATTCACCTTTTAAAGGAGTGAGTTAATGAGTTCTGAACATTATTTCAGTATCATTGGCAAAATGAAACTAACAATATACCTTCCCACTTGCCTCAACAGCCCTCATTCCTCTCCTGGGCCATCTGTCACAAAGGTGGATGGTTTGGCTTTTCTCCCAAGCAAAGTTTATATAGCAGCTTCAGAGCCACCAATCTGTAGCACAAGAATAGTTCAAGGTCTCCCTTCTGAGCCAAAGATTCAGGCCACTGTGAATATCGGTGATTCTTTAGGTTTTTGAGAAGATACATTCTGGGCAAAGCCTTGTGAGAAAGAAGTTTACAGCCAAACCCCCCCTCCCCCAAGAGATTTTTAAACATTTTGTTTAAAACAACCAATCAATTAAAACATTTGTGATTGTGCATCCAAAAATGCTATACAAATCAGCATACAGAAATAAAGCTAAAGTGGTAAACAAAAAACAAATTAAACATCAGTAAAAAGGATGAAACAGCAGCCAATTAAAACTGACTGGAGCAGACAATTTCCCATCTGAATTAAAAATATGTTTGCCTGCTCACAGACACAAAAAAGAGGAAAGCAATCTGGCAGGTAGCTTCAAAGTTTGGAGCAACAAGGGAAAAGGTGCGTTCTCAGGTTCCTTCCAAATATACCTCTCTGATGATAGCAAGACCAAGGAATGGGCTCTTCCTCAAAACTCTGACACGTAGTGTAAGTGGGCTCCCGTGTTTGTATGCCGGAACAGGATTTTTTAAATAACCCATTTTCATATAGAGGTCAGAATCTTTTACTATGAAACAGATGATGAACCCTTGGAGAAAGAGCCACATGCTCCTTGTTCAGGTAGCCTTTGACTTATGAGCCCCAAATTTCTTTTGCTAAGCAAGACAGTTGTTAAGTGAATTTTGGCCTATTTTATGACCTCTTTTGCCACAATTGTTAAGCGAATCACTGCAGTTGTTAAGTGAATCATGTGGTCGTTAAGCAAATCTAGGTTCTCCCATTGACTTTGCTTGTCGAAAGCCAGCCAGGAAGATTACAAATAGTGATCCCTGGATAATGCAACTGTCATAAATGCATGCCAGCTGCCAAGCTCCCAAGCCATGGGAATGCTGCAACTGTTATAAGTGTGAACACTGTTCATAAGTGCAGTGCTGTTGTAACTTCAGATGGTCACTAAATGAATGGCTGTATGTTGAGGACTACTTCTAATCAGCCAAGATGCGTTTTTGAATAGAAGGTGGATCTCTTTTATCTGAAATCACAAATAACCATAAATTGAGTAAAGCAATTTGTGCTCCTTTTTTGTTTTTCTTTTATTTTGTATTTGATACTAAAATTCAGGAGCACTGAACCATTTGCAGCAAATGCTTTTAGGCTATGACAGTGAATTAAAAGTATGTTATTCATAGATGGAGCTTTAGAATAATGTTCATATGTTATTTATTAAGGGCAATTACGTTGTCCTTACTCTTAAGCAGATCTCGAGATTGACTTGAAAACTAATTAAGCCCATTTGTCCTTGCTAGGAAGGAAGATTATTGATTATTCACTTTGTACTTCAATGAAATGTCTGTTATTGCTAAATAATATATACTTTATACAATGTACATCCCTCAGGGGAATGTATCAGCTCCTTTATTTAGAAGTAGGATTGCTTTGACTCTGCATACCCACACGGATACACACACACTATGCAGGAGCCTCCTTTTATTGATAAAGTAACATGTCTGAAAAAAGGCTATTCGCATGGTCTTTCTATATATATGTGCTAACTTTGCTTAAGGACCTTTTTAAAAATCTGCAATGCAATAAAAAGAGTCTGCACTGACTTCTCAACAGAGCTGGAGTGGTGAGCGAGGGCTCCCATCTCTTCAGTATCTCAAGACAATCCAACAGCTGTTTCCTTGTTCGATGTGTGCCTATATGCAACCTATTCTCCTTCCACTCTATCATACTAGCAATAATTTTCCATCTTTCCCACAGAAAGATGAAAAGAAATTTGTATTTTCTTCAATTTCAAAAAAGGGTTTTCCGAGAGGTTTTTCTGGTGGAGGTATGGCTGGCCTTAATAAGGCAAGATGAGCCCCCTACTGCAGTGATGATAACCTTTGGGACTTGGCAAGTCCAAAATGTGATTTTGCTGGTGTGTCACCCCTCCCAAACAAAAGAAAATCAATTCTCTAGCTCTGCCCCCCCCCAAAAAAACTTTAGGTCACTCTGAATAGTGGCATTTGGCAATTGAAACGAGGCCTGAAGTAGAGGCCTGGCCCTTCTTCAGCTCTAGCCCCACCACTGCTATTCAAAAAAGGTGCCTTGTGCTGTTCCCGAAGGTGTGTGAACCTTGGGGAACAACGTGATTGACCGTGTATCCCAGAGCTCCCCAGGATCTTCATGTATCGTCACGTGGTATTATTTTTCTGTTTATGGGCTCCTGTGGCCTCCCCAAGGCTGTTCTGGGTTATAGACGGACTTTCTTGAAGTAGCTCTTGAGAATGCTTTTCTGCAGCCTCCCAAAACTGCACATCCCATTCTTGTGCGATTTTGGGAGGCTCTGGAGGCTGTGTAAGAATAGAGTGTGCTTTCCTGCAGTCCCCAAACTCTCTGGAAGTCACGCAAGAGCACCGGATTCTCCAAACACTGCATGAGAATAGAGTGTGATCTTGTGTGACGGTTCATAGGCTGCCTGAGAGAATCTCACATTCTCGCACAACCTCCACACCTCCAAAAAATCACATGAGAACAAGGTGTGCTTTCAAGAATGGTTGTTAGATATGGGTGATTGCTGGCATGTTATCCAAACCATTGTGGCATGTGATCTTTGACACATATCATAGGTTCACCATCACAGCCCTAGTGCATCACATGACATCATGTCCTGTCGGGCCCAAGCCCAGAGATGAGACAGCAAGATCCCATTGAGTTCAGTTGATTATTTGCTTACACCTAATGGATAGAATCTTGCCAAATTAAAGCTATAACCTTCTTACCAATAGATACATCCCGAGAGATTTTGGAGTGTGGCTATCCTGAACCTCTTCCTCTCTTCCCCCTCCAGTTCAGGATTGTACCGTCTCTTATTCTGGGCCTCTTTATGGGAAAGCTCTGTGCTGCCAACAGTCTCCCCCTCCGCTCCTGCAGATGCACCCTTCCATCACATAATCAGGACTTTGCTGTGGGAGAAATGACCCTGAGACATTGTGACCTATCCCTGTGCCTGGAGAGCATGCTTTCAGGCCATCTCAAGGATCATGCCATCTCAAAGTCTTTTGGGAATGCTGCTTCAGAAGGGACATGTATCATTGGGAGATGGCTGGGCTCCTATTGGAAAGGGACCTTTTGTTCAGTTTATCCGCCAGTTCAAAGAGCTTTGCTGTAAATGTTAGGAAAAGGAGCCCCAGTCAGAACTGCCAGGATGCCAACGTTTGGATTTTGTGAGTCAGTGGAGATTTGAAGCCATACCAGTGGGCAGGCTTTGAAGTTGCAAAGCCATGCATTTGTTTGTAACTGTCCCCTTCCCATTGCACAGAATCTCCTCCAATTGCCTTTGAGATTTTATTGCAAAAGAAGGGACATAACATTCGCCAATACATGCACATGATTCATAGGCTGGGGGGAAAGCTAGTAATATATTTTGTTTTCTGTTTGGGAAGAGGACAAGAGACCATTTCTTTTTAGGCACAAAGCCAGGGAAACCTAAGCCAAATCACTCAGTTATTGTCAAGCTGAAAAGGATAGGAAGTGAGCACTGATTGGCTGGCTGTTCTTCGGGCACAGCTATTGGCCCTAAAGGGCAAGCACTTGATTGGCTGACAGTTCCCTGCAAGCTCCAGACTTGCAAACATAAAGCATTACTGTGTTAATAGCATTTTGATTATTTGAATAAATCTGCAAATCAATCAGGATCGCCCTGGTCAATCTCAGGTTTATTTGTAATGGTATTGAAAGGGGGAGAGATGGAAAAATCTGGTGGTTTGGAAGAATTCAAAGACAAATATATATTATCTCCACCAACAGTCCCATCAGTGAGTGGAAAACAAAATGCAGCTTTGTAGCAAAACAAGTCAGGCATCTAATTAACCCAGCACTGTTTTTATGGCTGTTGGCAGCTCACTAGAATTTCAGATGCCTTTTCCAGCCTCATAAGGAGGTCATGCATTGCAAGACAAATGTTTTTTTATGAAGCTACAGACGTGGGGCACAGCTTTGGGCTTGCATAATTTATTCTAATA